CACAGCCCCTCCCCTCTCCAGGAAGGCACGTCTCTGGCAGGCCACTGCTTTGATCCACAGACCCTGGCACTTCCCAGCATCCCCCAACCTTGGAGGTCCCTCTGGGGAAGTGCAGGTTCTTCCGTTATTTTGGGATTCCTTCTCTGCCTCCCTAGTGATCTGACCTTACCACCCTGTTACACAATGACTATTAACATGTCTTATAAAAGATAGCTACATAAATTCTTTATCTGCATGATGTTACTATGAGTATAACCCAGTTTTACTTATGTTCCCTGCTGTAATTTTTTGATTAAGACATTTTGTCCTAGACCACTTATTCCCAGGAAAACTTGGTGTACTTGTGAGGACTGGGTGTATTTTCTTTCTACTCATAATTAAGAGCTAAGAAGCACAGGCAAATGCATGTAGGTTCTCAACCAGGCTTTTCAGTTTAACCACTGCAGCTGTGTTGACTTTAGACTATAATCTCTGTTTTCTCCTTTGTTAACTCCTTTCCCCTCCTACTCTTCACAAATAATTTTTCAAAGATACAAAGGATAAATACATTTAGTATGTGCCAATAGCTCTCCCTCCTGTCTCCCACCTGTGCCTTCCTTGAGCTCCAGTATGGCGTTTTTACATCTTGCTTATATTTTGCCCAGCTTCTAAACAGACAGCCCCAGCTAGCATCTCTCTCATGGGCAACCTCTTACCTTATTCAAATGTGATCTTTGAACCAACAGCAGCACCAGTACGTGGGAACATTTCAGAAATGCTAATTCTTGGGCCTCATCCCCAGGAGCTGCACCAGAAACTCTGGAGATGGGGCCCAGCAATTTGTGTTTTATCAAGCCCTCCAGGTGATCCAGATACAGGTTGAGTTTTGAGAGCCACTGCTTTAGAGCAGGGGTGTCAAACTCATTTTCATCAGGGGCCACATCAGCCTCGTGTTTGCCTTCAAAGGGCCGAAGGGCCAAACGTAATTTTAGGACTGTATAAACTACTCCTTAACTAGGGGCAAGGAGCTCAGTGCTGCCACGGGGTAGAAACAAGGTGCCGGGTCAGATAATACAAGGTGGAGGGCTGGATTTGGCCCTCAGCCCTTGTGTTTGCCACCTGTGCCTTAGAGAATGTACCCTTGTCTTCTTTCCTAGTCTGTGTTCTCTAGCTCATGGTGTCTCTCATCTACTCAGCATGTTTGTTCTGTTTTCCAGCCAAATATTTTATAGACTTTTTAGAATAATTATAAATTCTTTTTTAAAATTGATTTGGGAGAGAATGAGAGAGTGAAACATCAATTTGTTGCTCCACTTATGTATTTGTTGGTTGTTTCTTACAGGTACCCTGACTGGGATAGAACACACAACTTTAATGTATCAGGACAACGCACTAACCAACTGAGCTACTTGGCCAGGGTGGGGATGATTACAAATCCTTAAAAGAGCCTATGTAATTGGTATAGTTAATTATTTTCCCACCACAGTCAGTGAAGCATTTATGAGTACCCTACCCCATGGTCACTAGCTGGTTCATGCTTGAGCCACTCTTTGCATAGCAGACAACTGGGTTCTGCCAGGGCCAGCTCTTCTAAAACACAGACTAGCACTGCTTCCCTGAGAAGACTGCAGCAGACAAACCAAAAGGAGGCCTGCTCCTGGCCAATATGGGAGGGACCCCAAAACACCAAAATTTATTTATAAAAATTTGTATATTTATTATGTTTATGTGTTTAAACTTTAGCCACCTTCAAAGTACTCTCCTATCAAGACAACTTTTCTACTGCCTAAAACAGTTTTTGAACTTGTAGATTTTGATACCTTTTAGTGCTTCTGCTGTATTTTGTTTCACCCCTTCCACATCAGCAAAACATTTCCCTTTGAGGACTTTTTTTCACCCTGGAAGACCCCAAAAAAGCTACTTGGGGTGAGATTGGTTGGATAGGAAATATAGGGCATGGGAGTCATGCCATTTTTGGTCAAAAACTGCTGAACACTTAGAGTGGTGTGGGCAGGTGTACTGGTAAATCACCCATGTGAAATGGACAAATGTGTTGAATGAGTCTTCAAAAAAATTGACTGAAGCCAATGCAGCCTCTCATAACAACACCAGCTGGTACACTGGCACAGATGAGTTCCTAGAACACTTACCTAGCGGGGGAAATGTGTACAACAAGGGGTCTGACCTCCAGAAGATTATTCTGGGTTTTTTTTTCAGGTCCTCCCTTGTAAATTAGTCTTTAATTGAGTAGCTGCGTGCAGTAATGACTGCAGGAGAGGAGTAATCAGAACTTTCTTAGTTGGATAACCTGGATTTCAGAGACTTTTAAGAAAGACAAAAGGCAACAATTAGTACTTTACAGTGTTGTAAAAAGCCGAAAGCAAGGCAGTCTACCTGTTTTGATATTTGAAGATGGTTCAAGTAGGGTTGAGATTAAAGATCCCATTATAAGTGGTGTGAGCAGGGACCCAATTTATATTATATAGATGCAATTCAATCTATATCCTTAAAGGAAATGTATTATTAGATGTTTACATTAGGATGTAAAGATATTATTCTTCCCCTCTTTTTTAAATTAAGAAGCACTTTATAAATTCAAATGTAGAAGACCTTAAAAAACTGGTTTAAAAACCATAAGTTGCTTTGTTAAGGGCAAGAACTAGTAGGGAAGGAGTGAGTTTCACTGGAAATCTCGTTAAACTGAAGCAGAAAATAGACTGAGGGTTTCTTGAAGCTCTGAGTGGTAGTAAAATAAAGAAACAAATATTCTTGCAAAATAGATGTGAATTTCTAAGATTTATTCTATTGTAATTTAAAAGATTTTGGCAATTTATGTAGCTAACAACTGCATCCAAGGTATTCTTGTTCTCCAGATGATTTGGGGCAAAACAAAAACAAAAACTAAAAACCCCAAACAAAAGTAAAACATGAAAACAGAACAAATATTTGTTATGCATTAATGTAGCACTCACTTCCTACCTGGAGCGTTTGACTTACTTGAAGAGTCAAGGTTAATGTCTCTGCAGCAATCGAGAGTACCAGATAATAGACGGTTAAGTGCTAAATTACGTTATCCTTGACGCGCTTGTCTTTGTACATTCTTGGAAATCTCATCTCTCATGATTTTATCTAATATCTAAGTAGGTCAGTGTTTCTCAATTTTGACTAATGTAGAGCTAGGTGGTTGAAAAAATTTTCTTACATTCCCTCAGTATGGAATGAAAGAATTTTTATTGTTATTTTACCAAAATATGTATCAATTTAAAAATAGGCACAAATCACTTACCCTTATGTTTCTTGAACAACTATAGAAACAAACCTACTAATTAAATACAGAAAGTCTACATAAGCAATAGAACTTATATTAATTTAGTTGGCAAAGTTTTATTAAAGCAAATTCACCACTCAAAGCTTGAGCACGGTTCTTCCTGCTAAGGCACAGCTTCCTGTGCTTTCAATAGGCCTTTCTTACAATGTGAGACACGGGATGACTCAGCTCTCACCACTTTATTCAACCTGTTGTGAAACTATCCTTTATCTACTTCCTGTGGGGCGGTTTTGGCCTGTGATTTGTACAAACACATCATGTGTGTAGAAACTGTGCTTGTGATACTGTCTCAGTATTTGGCAGTAATTAATATGCTATGGATTGTCAACATGATTGAAATGCAAATGAAAAAGGTGAGAAATAAAATCTTGGGCAATAATTCATATAAGGTAGCTACCCAGATGGTACCAAAGTCTCTTGTTACTTTTAAAAGGTTGTCATAAAATGGTGCCAGGATTCCTGGTAATACTGAGGGATCTTTGTTAAGTATACGATTGTCTAACCACTATGCTGTGTACCTGCAACTAATATAAAATGGTACCATATGTAAGCCATAATTGAAAAAAAAAAGAAAAATATTAAAAAAATAAAAGATTTCCGGCCAGTGTGGCCCAGTTGGTTGGAGCATCTTCCCATAGTCCAAAAGGTCACAGGTTTGACTCCCTATCAGGGCACATACCCAGGTTGTGGGTACAAGAAAGCAATCAGTCAATATTTCTCTCTCACATTGATGTCTTTCTCTCTGTGTGTGTGTCTCTCTTTCCTCCTCTCTCTCTAACAGCAGTGAAAAAATGTCCTCGAGTGAGGATAAAAAATAAATTAAAAAAGCTCTGGCTGGCGTAGCTCAGTGGATTGAGCTCCGGCTCCGAACCAGGCATCGCAGGTTCGATTCCCAGTCAGGGCACATGCCTAGGTTGCAGGCCACGACCCCCAGCAACCGCACATTGATGCTTCTCTCTCTCTCTTTCTCTCTCCCTTCCCTCTCTAAAAATAAGTAAAATCTTTAAAAAAATAAATTAAAAAAACTTAAAAAAATAAAAGATTGTCATAGCTATGAAGACATGAAATACTCATGATATGAGGTCTGTCCAGAAGGTATCCATCCATGTAACTAGAGAAACAGAGACATTTATTGAAGAAGATATAAGATACAAGAAACGTACATAGGACAATGATGCTTCAGTCCCTTTCAAAGTAGGAACCTGGGGACTTTACACAGTTCTCCCAGTTACCATCAGCTGCCCCATCTTATTTTCCTGAATCTCACTGATTATCTTCCCTTTCAGAGGTGATTTTACTTTTGGGAAAAGCCAGAGGTCACAGGGCACCAAATCTGGGCTGTATGGGGGCTGAAACACCTGAGGGTTATTTGATGTTTCACCAAAAAACTCTGCACGAGAGGGACATGATTCATGAGCAGGCACATTGTAATGATGAAGCTGCCAGTCACCAGTTGTCCATAGCAATGGCCTTCTGAATTATTTGAATAGTTTCCGCAGAGGAGTGTTCAAGTTTAATACAAAATTTGATGCAGATTCGTTGCTCTACTCACTCAGTCATTTTGAATTTGATGGCCACACAGTACACGTGCTCACTTAAGGAAATATACTGCTCCCACTGACTACTAGTACAGTGAAGTTGTCATTGTTCACACGTGTACATTCCAGTCCACTCTCCTTGGCTGCCAGGTTACGTCAATGTTATGCGAACTGTTCTCATTATATTAACAATGGTTGGACTTTTTCCAGACAGATCTTGTATAGGAAGTCCTAATTAAAAACTGAGGTCAGCTGTAGTGGGCACAGCTGTGTGTACCAGATCCACTACAAGGAAGCATGTGGTCCCCCAGTGATCAGCAGAAAGCCCCAGCTCTCAGTTCCTTTATGGTTTGTTTAGCTGCAAAGAGCTGCTTAACCCAAAGGCACTTCTTTTCACTGGAGCTCACCTTTATGAATTGATACAGGCAGCGATGTTAATACCTTGCTATTGGTCCTGAGGAGGGACAATTCTGATGAGCCAGGTGTGCTCCAGACGCCCCGTGGACTTGGCTAAGGTTTTTTTGGCCTGTACTGCAGTTCCACTTTGACCTCCTAATCCTGCTTTCCTCCTCTCCTATGAGCTATGATCCCCAATAAATACTTGCATGCCAGCATCAAATTAGTGTCTACTTCTGGAGAATCCAGTCAATAGCAGATACCATGAATTTCTCTGAGGACCCCCTGAAGGAGCGAGGATGCCTCTTCTGCAGCTCTGATTGTTCTCGCAAGCTTCTTGTCTGAAAGTTCAGCTTCCAGTGGGATACTCCTGCCAGCATTTTCAATTCAACAGGTCTAGAGCCGATGCAAAATGATCTGCTGGCCTCTTTCCTCTGAATAACTTGTGAGTTTTCCCGTCCTGTTTTATAATTTATTTAATGGCACTACCATTATATTCTCAAAGGATCAAAAGTTGGGAGGTGATTTCAATTCCTCACACATTTTACTCTGTAAATCCAGTCTATTATTCATACTCTTAACATGGCAAAGAATTGACTCATTTCTCCAGGGATTCGCTTCCCATACAAAGGATGCGGTTGAAATTGTAAAGGACAGCTTCAGTTCGCTTTCGGAATATTTACATTCCTTAATAGTTTCCCTTCTCTTTCCTTCAGTTCTATAGACTTTAAAACACAAAAACCAGGTTGTTGTTTTTTTTTGTTTCCTGAAGGACACATATACAAAATTCTAAGCCCCAAACATCCACTTATTTGAAAGTGGAATATCTTGGCTCACATATTAAATAAAAGAATAATGCTTTGAGAGGATGACAGCAAATGTCAAAGGCTTCACTTTCCTTCTGCAATTAAGATTAGTGCAGCAGTTGGTGAAATGAAATATTTATTTTGCCCCAGCTTAAGATAAAATAAATTCAATTTTCTATTTCTCTTTATTTTTTGTAATGAACTAAAGAACAAAGAAAGCCAAGTCTTAATAAATGCCAAAGTAATAATTTTATAATAAAGACACTAAAACGTGTGTGCATGTTATTGTGTGGTTTAGAAGTCTATGCAAATGTACATATTTAAAAATCAGTCAACTCATTAAAAGGTACTAGCGTTTACAACTGAAAGTTGAGTTGTCAGTTGACTGTGAGAAACTGAGATGTTTGTTAGAGAGAAGTTGTCAGGAAAGCAGTAGAACATTTCCTGCCCATGTGTGCAGTCTTGAGGATTTGTCATGGCCATGACAAACCCGACCACCATAACCACGGCACCAACGGGAAGCATGACACAGGACACAATCTTATCGGAGTGTGTCCTTGGTTCCTCAGACAGTTTCAGATAACATGCTGATGGAATGATAAAAATTAGTGGAGCTGCACAGAGCACACCCTGCGTATTGAAATGAGAAAACAAGAATGTTATCGGCTGGAACATTCCTTGGACAATTTTTAAAAACATTTATGAACTGTATTTGTCATTGTACATGTTAAAAGTTGTATGGGATTGGTTAACTACAATCAAAGGAAAAAAAATTCTAAGAAAAACTTAGGAACAGTTCTTTTTTTCTTTACTGATGGCATATTTACAAATGAGAAAAGTGAAATAAGAGTAAAAATATATATAACAGTATAATATAATGGACCAGAAAGAAGAATCAGAATATGATACAGGAAATAAAAAAGATGGTAAGACTGACCTCTGGCAAACTCTTGAACTTTTCCATACTTTCAGTTATATCATATTACCTTAACACTCTTCATTTCAAATTTCTGTGTTTTCTACTATGTTTTTCAGACCTAAGAAGCCTATTTGTCATTGTGCATGAGAAGGAACTATTTGGAAATATATAGGGCATATTGTCTTTCATTTTCACCTGAGTGTGTATGAAAGTAGGTGCCTGTCTATACGAGAAGGAAAACTATAACCCAAGGGCACTCAGCATGAAATCACATTTCTATATCATCTTTCAAATAAAACTGAACACATTAATTATCCTAGAAAATTGACAGCAGAACTAAACGGCTGTGACTCATTCACACTCTCCCACAGTACTTCATGGGCAAATCCAACCTGAGGGGAAATGTCAGATTGAGAATTATGAGCAGGGTCATCTATCATAAAAATACCAAGAGGTTTTTACTTCAAAAGAAAAGAAACTTTTCCTTTGAGGACTCCATATTTGCCCTAGAATGTTTGCAAACAAAATAATGTTAAAATTTAAAGAATTTTAGGTACTTGACTTTTGTAATTATAATAAATGTTAATTATATAATATATTAAACAAAATATAACAGACATTAATAAAATATAATTATATGACAAGGAATATTTTCTTAAGCCATAAAACACAAGGGTTTTTCTATAATATACACTTGATAGCAAATGTGATACTGGTTTAAAATTAAAAGCAAGCTTTCCATAAAATGTACATTATATTATATTTGAAAAAGTTATGAAATTTGTAAATATATAAAAACATAGAAGAGTATAATGAAACCCTTATACATCCATCACCTAATGTGTGAAAACCTTTTGACACATTATGTTGTGATTTAAAAAATTATTTTTTCAAAAAGTTTGAAAGTTTTTTTCACAACTTTGGTAATTTAGAAAATTACAGAAAAGTAATTTTAAAGTTGGATGATATGAAAGAACATTTTAGGCCTTAAAAATAGTTTTAAAGACAACATTCACTAAAATTACTGGCTTTTATAATAAGTACCATCCTCATTATACCAGAATTGTTACAACTATGATTCCAAGAATGTATTTTTAAAAATTTTTACAAAAATGGCAAATTTACAAAACAGTAAATGCTTATTAAGAGGGACATATGATAAAATCAGACTAGCCAGGCAGTGTCTAAAAATCTGGGGAAGAATAGGACAGACCACATTTCATGGAAAATATTTCTATAGTCAGAAATGTAAGAATGAGAAGCTACTAAGAGGTACAAAATTGTATTCTAATTTAAAATATATAGACAATATAATTTTGCTATTCATAGCACCAGAATAAAAATGAATATCCACAAAGGTACATAAGTATAAAGGATTAGTTTTCATACGACCAGAATTAAATGCATTATGGATTCCTTGAACTCTGTCATGACACTGGAAACTGACCTTGTTTTCTAAATTAGGAGAAATCTTGGGTGACTCAGTCTGTGTTCATTATAATTATTACTCTTTAATGTCCTGAAAATAATTTTTGAAAACATTACAAAGGTAATTAAAACACAAATATATGTGTGTGTGTATAATATGTGTGTATGGGGCAAGTCTTTTCTCTTTATAGGAACAAACTGTAATTCATCTGGAAGTATGAAATACAAAAGTGTTATGAGGATGAAAACTGCCACCAGCTACAAAGCATTTTGGGATGGTTCCAAACCTAATTTGCTGGGCAATGCAAAGCAATGGGTGTTCTGTTTATATTATAATTCTTAAGAACTGAGAAAGTAGCAATTAGTGGGAAAATTATATAGCTGATGTTTGTACTGAAAGAAGTCCAGCTGGGTATCTTGTCTAGATAGCAGTTACTTCTTAATATTTGAAAGCTTAGTCTTGCTAGAGGTTGTTGTTAGGACCCAAGATCAAGTATAAAATGCTAGAACAGTTCCATCTACTGTATTTTATATATAGAAGCTAGCTTACTTGCTCTATTTAATGTAGCCATGCTTGAGAATATACCACTGGCCTTGGAATACTTTGAGAAATGGCTTGACAGGACAGAAATACCATAATGGCTTATTAAAGAAACAAAATATAGCCTTCTTTAGAAAGCCAGGAGAGCACTCTCCTTTGATAATGACAATATTGATGCCAGAGCATTTTGCAGGGAAATAGCAGAAGCTGTTAAAGATTTTTACTGGCAATACAGATTTGAAAAGTATCTGAATTCTCCTACCTTAATAGATACCTCTCAAATGAGTCACGAGATTGAAAACTAAATAAAAGAATGCTTATACCTCCTTTAAATTTCTACTTTGTAGTCAGTCTGGACTCATGAAATGTATTCCTGTTCCTTAAAAAGAAACTTGAGCTCTGGAGGGCCCTGGCAGCTTGGACCATGGCTTGCTCAGTCTAATGACTGCATGTCTACATCTGGGCTCTCCCTGGGTCACTGGCTTGCTTTTCCCCTTCCATTGTGAGCTGCACACAGTGCTTGTTGGGCTGGTTACTCTGGCCTCAGGCACCAGCTGCTTCATCTTTTCTCTTTGTATTGCTGCAAGTTGGAACCCACAGGGCCCAATTAACGCAGATGCCTCTTTTCTCTAATAGCAACATTGGTGTGAGATGCTACCAAGAATGGGACATATTTATTTTATTTGCTTCGAGAATGAATCCTTTAACATCGAGGGTGCATTAGCTTTGGAAAACTACATCATTGTTGTCTACTGCCATGAAAAGAATGAAATAAGAGGGAAATTAAGTTCTAAATGAGGTTTTGTGTTTTATTAAATAACTAACATAACCCTGAGTAATGTATCCTACATATTTTATTACACTAAGTAACAGCGTCTTCCTAATTTGCAAGTTGAAGGTCTGATTCTATTACGCATCTCATCTGTGAAGATCGTTATTCTTAGTGAAGATTCAGGAGCCACAATAGAAAAGAAATCTTAAAGTGCTATAATTATTAATTAAGATAAAACTATTAGTTAAAATAACAGGAACCTAAACAACAAAACACACAAGCAAAATATAACTAAAGACACTGAAATAGAGAACAGGCTGAGAGTGACCAGAGGGGAGAGGGGAGGGAATTTCAGGGGAAAAGGGAAAGGGTGTACAGGAACAAGTATAAAGGACACATGGACAAAAACTAGGCGGGGGTGGAAATGGGAGGGAGGTGGGCAGGGCTTGGGGGGGGTGGGCAGGGATGGAAGTAAAAAGCAGAAAACTGTACTTGAACAACAATTAAAATAAAAAAAATAAAAAATTATTTGTTTCGATAAAAACTTTTAGTTTCATTTTATTTCATCTCAAGGTATTTATTTTAACCTATTATTAAAGTCTATCCACATATATTACTGATTACTTTTACAGGTGAACACAATGCATAGATTTTTAACTTAAAAGTGAATAGAGAAGTGAACACACTTATTTTACATAATGTAAAGCCTACATCTAGAAAACCTCAGGCTAGCATAAGGATGAAAAATGTGGGCTATAGGGTCTGAAAGCCTGTGTTCAAATCTTATTCTGCCACCTACAACTAGTATAACCCTATTTAATCACTTCGTGCCTCGGTTTCTTCATCTGTAAAATTAATGCAGATTAAGGAAGATAATGTATGCAAAACTCTTGGCATAGAGTAAATACTCAATACAGGTTACCTCACATAATTGTTCTGAACTGGAACACAGCATGCTTTAGTTACGTTTAAAGTGTTGCGTGATCCAGCCTGCATTAATTACTGACAAGTGATGCTTGATGTGGCTCTATGAGACATGGCAAATGCCCACACCAAAGGGGGCTTAATAAAGACCTGAATATGTTATTGTGCACACCAGAAGACTTTTGATTGGGAAAACATGTGTGCAGGTAGTCTGAAAGAGAAAGGTGATCCTAGATTTTATTAAGCTACAAAGTACTTTAAAACTAATGTGATCATCTTGGATTATTAGACCATAACAGACAATTTAGCACTCCTCTTGAATTGTTTTTATATGAATGTCTACATACACAAGTTTTTAAAAAGCTAAGGAGCTACAGTCACATATTAAATTTTCAAAAATAGTCCTCTACAGCCAGCTCAGATCTTGACTTTATAACAGATATTTGCCAAATATTATTCTCTGATTACAATACCAGAATTCTGTCTTAACCACAAAAATTTTCAACTCTCAATGGAGTAAATACTGACTTGGGATTTCATTTGTAAAAGTCAACATAAGTGCAGTAAAGAATATTTAATAGATTATATGCTTACAATTTTGTTGTTCAAGTGTCAGGGAGGCTAGCAATGAGCAGAAACTAATGGTAACATTTACAAAAATAAAGCTTTCCTGAAGAATAAGCAATATGCGTATGGTTTGGTGAACTTGAAGGGAATAAAAAATTGTTAGGCTATCAAAAAGTGGTGAGTGGTCAGGCAGTTGATAAACATATATTCTTTCATATCAAAATCCTACAATATTAAAAAAGACATGTGAACTCAAGTGAGACATTTCACAAAATAAGAAACAACAGAGCTATGGGGAGAGGTGGGGGGGGAGGCAGAAAACTATACTTGAACAACAATAAAATTCAAAAGTATTTAATAAAAATAACAGCTGTCAATTATTATATTGATCATCTTCACGGCATACTTCAAGGATTACTATTACTGTCAACACCAACAATTTTTTGTAAAGCCCTCTTTCCTGGTGCTGCACCAAACAATGTCTCATGTCCAGGAGCATTTGTAGAAATAGTTCCTGCACATGGTGCCAAGGGGCAATCACCCATGAAGTAATTTGAGCACTATGTTCTTAGTGCTCTGCCTGATACCATGGAGGATGGAGACAGCAGCTAAATTCATTCTTGTCTTCAAAGAGCTTATAATTTGGTAAGGAAGAAAAGCTTATGGACAGTCTAAACAGTACATGATATAAGATAATACATAAATCAAGTTAGTACATTAAGGTGACACTCATCCATTCACACAGATCAGGGTTGGAACATGGAATGATTTTGAGTGAAGCTGCTAGACTTTGGCCTATGCAAAACTGGGAAGTAGGTATGAGTTACCTTTGATTTTATCCATCTCCCATGAGCGTTCATTCCATTGTTGGTGGAATAGATAGTTGCCCAGCCCTATGTGGCTTGGGAAGCTGTCTACTCCCTCCTTTCCATATGCTCTGCTACAAGAAAACCCTTAATAGCGTGTTCCTGACTGAACCTTCCACTACTTTTGTTTGGAACTTCAAATCCAAATGGCATCTGGAAGGAACAGTGTCGTGGGCACTGACAATACCTTCACCTATCTCTCACCTCTCAATGGAGTGAGTAAATGACGATGTGGGATTTCACCTGTAAAAGTCAGCTCTCCGTGGTTCTTGAATAACAAATGCTGTGATTCTGAGACATTCATTATTCATGCCTCACCGAATAGCATCATTATCCTAGTTCCACAAAGTAGGACCAAGGAGTTTCTCTGCTTTCCCAATTGAATCTGTCACCAAGACCTGTAAATCTTTTCTCAAAATGTCTTTTGGGAGTTCATCTACATCCCTCTGTCTTCTTTACTGCCTATAGAGCAGCTGAACTTGCATGTTTATTTGTGAAACTGTAAGCTTCATGAAAGCATGGATCCTTTCTGATTTTCTCCCATTATTGTATCTCTATCGTATGGCACATAGTTATTATTCAGTATATATCTATTCAATGAATAAATGAGTTAGAAGTTGCACTGGACCTTAATTCTTTGTAAGATTTGGACAGAAATAAGAAGAAAATAATAGGTATAGAAAATAATAAACATAAGTCAAAGAATAAAATAACCAACATGACTTACTCATAGGCAAAAACTAACATTGGTTAGAAATGAGTGTAAGTTTTGAGTAAATGGTAAATAACTTCCCATAGAAGGCATGGGGTCAGATTATAGAGGCAACAGAGCTTATGCTTGCTCTGGTAGGAAAGCAGAGATTTTTAAGCAGGATAGTGATAAACTGGAAGGAAAAATTAAGTATGTGTTAATGGAAGCAAAAAGCCAGTATTAATTCAGATGTGATATAATGAGAATGTAGATTTGGAAGGTAGCAATAGAGATTACAAGGGAAATTTCTAGAGAGAGAAAAAAGATTTTAAATGAAAAGAACATGGGCCATTTTAAGTGAATGTGGGGTGTGGATATCACTCTCTTCATTCACATATTTTAATGAATCTCTCTAGACTTATTTTTATTTGGCAAGGAAATTCCAGATGCATTAATTTACAGTTATGTTTAGTAATATCTATGTATTATAGAAAATGAAAGTGAAAAAGTGCTCTGAATCAGGGTATCCCAATCCTGGCACTTTTGACATTTTGAATTGGATAATTCTTTGTCATGGGGGCTGTCTTGGGCATTGTGCGATGTTTAGCAGCATCCTTTGCCTCTACCTACTAGATGCCAGTAGCAACTGCCTACCCAGCTATGACAATCAAAAATGTCTCTAGACATTGCTAAATGCCCCATGGGAAAGGAGAGAAAAAAGTTCCCTCATTGGAGAACCACTGTTCTAAAAGTGTATAGTCCCATACAGTGCATAATGTCATCATTATAAATAGTTACTATAACATAACAAACATACTTTAAATTATCTTCAGAAAGTGACACCTTTTTAAGGCAAAATGCATCTTATGCTAAACGTGAATACCATTTTTAAAGTGATGTTTAGAATGGGAGAAGTAAAACTTTAAATGCACTTACATTGAGTTCTAAAACAATTCCAAGACAATCAATCAGCAATGACACGAGCATGGCTGTGGTAATGATAACCACTGTTATGATTATGTGGAAAACTGGCGAAAGGTTCCCACCAAAAAACACATTGGCAACTACCTGTCAAATAAATAGATTATTTAATGGAGTCTATTATGCTAAGTGAAATAAGTCAGTCAATGAAAGACAAATACCATATGCTCTCACTTAAAAGTGGAATCTAATGAAGAAAGCAAACTAATGACTAAAATAGAATTAGAGGCAACATGGAACATGGAACAGACTGACAGCTGTAAGGAGGGGAGAGGAGGTAGAGACTGGTTGAAAGAAGGGGAAGGGAATACTCAAAGAACATGCATGCATGACCCATGGATGTGAACAACAGTGTGGGGACAACAGTTCCCAACACTGTGGGAACTGGGGGTGGGCTGGGTGGAGGAGTATACAATTGGTACAACTGTAAAACATAAACAATAAATTATTTAAAAGGAAAAATTACTATTATAGGGAATACAACTTAAAACTGTAAAAAATCGAATATTTAGAAAGGGATTCTCAGACACATTCAGGATTTATCAAGAGAGTGTTTTATATTTTGGCACTTAGGAGTATATAATATACTACCGATCAAATTTTAAGCCATATGAATGTTCTACCTTCTCCAAAGCACTTACACATAGACATACACACATCAATAACAAGTATTCTTTGTTGAATATTAGAAAGGCAGCACCTGCATATTAATTGTGAATAAATATATTTCTGAAGCATAAGAGAGACTTTTGGAAGTTGCCTATCCTTCCTCCTTGAGTCCAACAATGTTACCATTAAGACAACAACAGATGCTATTTAGATTATTTGAATGACCTCTAAGAAAGGAGTTTCCAAATTTTCTTTAATATTAATGGATGTGTAATATCCTTCACTACCAGGAAATTAATGTTATGTAATCTAAATCCTATTTGATACAAGTTAAATCTATTTTACCTTGCCTTTCTTCAACAAAAATGGAGAAAAGTTGATCATTATTTTTCACTGGTATACCGGTTAGGAAATCAATCAACAGTTACCTGTTGAATATGTCCTACACTGTGATATGATTGGCAAAGAGAAAATGTCTAGGTGATTCCTATTCTTAGACATTAATATTCTAACTAAGAATATTAATGGAGGGATCCAACCAACCTAATAAAACAAATAGTAGTCAATTTATGGCTGGATAAAAGAATCAAATAGAATCTTGAACTAGAGGAAGCTTTATTTATCTAGTTCTGTCTCCCTGAAACAGGATTCCTGAAATGTATTTGTCCTACCTTGGCTTGAGGTGAGACTTAAAACATGGATAGGATTTAGAGCAGAATTATAAAATGGGGCAACATTGTGAAAAAAAAGCAAACAGGTAAGAACAGAAACTATACTTATGAATGACAAGGAGGAGACAGCCTGAAAAGGATGTGTGGAAAAACCATGAGGCAAGAGTAGGAAATGGTAGGAGATGGCCAGAGGCGGGGAGACTTTAACAAAGCTATCTCTCTAAGCTGTGATAAATAACTGTGGTAACTAAGTAACATTTCCCATAGATGAATACAACCATAAGTCTGCTAATAGTTTAATGGGGATATTAATAACTTTTACTCATTTACGGTTTTACAATTGGTAGTATCTTTCCAAATACTATCTTGTTTCAAATTCATTCTTTTAGAGGCCTTTAGGAAAGAATCGTGATGGTGAAAGATCACTAGTGAGTCAGGCTGGTGAGACAGGCTTTTGGGCACCCTTGTATATGGCTGGCTATTTCACCTATAAATAGAAATGGCTTTGGTTGTGTTTATGCCAACTGCGTATTTGTGTGTGAGTGTGTGTGTGTGGAAAGAAGGAAAAGAGAAAGGAAGTGAATGGGTGAGGGATATATACAAGGTTCCTCTGCCCAGTAATTGCCATGATGGCAGAGATCTTGATTTAGTTCCGTCTTCCTGTCATGGCAGCTAGAAAGGAAATGCAAGTTCCAAGTACTGAAGACATAAACTGTGCAGGTGGCGTGACTCAGACTGTCCACAAACAGTTCCCCAGAAACTATGTGAGAAGGCACCATCTGTTATTGCTCATCTGCAGATCGGATTTGAACCTCAAGTACCTGGCAGAAGCTAAAATAAAACCATTTCCGGTATCCAACATTAGCTAGCAACATTTTAGATTTAAAAGATATACATAAAGTGAAGTTCAGTCCAGGTCCCCTTATGTTCAAGGTGGAGAGCTGATCAGTGAGTTATACATCTGCAAGTGAAGACAAGTGCTAACTGTAAAAGACATTCATAGTGCAGAACATTTTCTTATCCCATGTTCTTACCCCCACAACTGGCATAAGGTAAGCACTGATCTGCCTTTAGAAGAGTGTCCATTAGTTAGTTAGTGTATTCAATGCTCTGTAGGCATTTCACTTCACACATTAGAGCCATTCACATGGCACACTGCATAAACAGGCTCTAGGAGCGGATCTTAAGACTAATAGTCCCTTTTCAGGATGATTCCTGAAAGAACCACTGTGAAGCAAGATCATGTTTTTTGCTAACTGGTACAGTGAAGTGTTAGCTAACTTGCATAAGGGACTCTGGACAAGCCATGTTATCTAATTTTACACAGAAAGGATTAGTTCTCTTTCGCCTAATCATCCTCCACAAATACAGACAGACTATATAACATAACTGGGAGTTGACTTAAAAACAAACAAACAAACACAAAACTATTTATATTGTTTTATATGGTATATAAATACAAATAAATATATTTATACAAACATATAAATGAAGTATATCTATAAAACAAATGGTTTAAATGGAATTTTGATTTTCCATGGAAAATAAGATATTTTAGTTTTAAAAATATAACAAGATGGATCAGAATCTGTTCTATGGTGCCTTTAATATTATACATGTTGTATCATAAAATATCTTACCAAAAAGATAATTTTGTAAAACATATTTTAAACCTTAGTACTTAATTTCTTTGTAAGAATTTTTTTTAAACTCCTTAGTTTGGTTCTATTAAAGGCTGGCATTCATTTTGGAATGCAGTTGTATAAATATTTATACTTATGCTAATATAAACTAAACCAAACCTAACTTTAGAAAAAAATATCTTGTAAACTTTGAATATAAATTTATCTTTAAACTTGTTGAAAAGAAAATTTCATATATTGCTAGTCATGCACTTGAGAATTTACAAATTCAAACTATTTTCAAATCTTTTTAAATTAAATGTAATAGAGAGCTCCCTACATAAAGTGTTGGGAAGGAATTGTGCTTACCTCTCTAGTCACAAAGCACTCGATGGGGTATGTCAAAATGACAGTGGCTCCATAACAGAACCTTCCAAATGTTACCAGGTCATCATTTCTGCAATAATTTTCAAATAAGTCTCCTAGAGATTGATATAAGATAGATTTATTTAATAGATGCTATATATTGATATAAATATCTAGTAAAGGAGATAGTGAACATTTATTATATCAGTGATGCTACATAAACTTCATTTAATTTAATTAATAGAATAGATTGCCAAATCTAAATATAATTTTGAATTCAGTAATATATAATTATTGACTGATATTAAAACTAGTGCATGAACCACATGAAGATGAATTCATCACTAATAGTTTTTCTTTTATTCTCATTGTTTATTTTGGTAGATTTGCTTAAATTTATATCAACTTCTGAAAAGTACTTTTATCCATTGTTTTCTTACACCAGAATCAACTCCCTAAATTCTTGTGCATTGGTTTTATAAACTTGCTTCTGGTCTTTGTTTCTGGTAAGTAAATGACTTCATTATTTTTTTAAAAGAAAGGTCTGTTAAAATAAACAAATTTCCTTTGAAACGCTATTCATAGATCAAGGACAATCTTGAAAGGAAGAATGGACCATTGCATCTGGGGAGCTGAATTTCCTGTGTATCACACTACAGGGTTTAATCACAAATTCAGGGCCACAGCAAGGAATTCCAAACATACATTATCTCCCATGAATCCAAGTGTAAATGCACTGATTTAAAACTGTGGAAATATGGAAGAGCAGTATATTTCATTAGTTCCAAACTAAATGATGGAGCATATATGCCATGAATCAATTCTTATTTAGAAACTACATTTTCTCATATACCTATGAAGAAATACTGGATCTAATGGGGGCACAGAAGACATGTCAGCAAAAAGTTTCCAAACGCTGAAACAAAAAATAGTTCAGTTTGTTTATTTCCTCAATGTAATGTGTGTCCATTTTAAAATTTTGGCCACAGTTTTCATTAGACTGAATAAAAAATTAGATCAAAGTCACACACTATGACATTGTTTAAAAAGAGAAAAATCCTTTTGTACTTTCATTCATCAAAAAGCTAAATGACCTGCCTCTTCCTAAGACTTAAGTGACTCTTCTTTCCTCCTACTGTAGAACAAATGTATATTACTTTCTGTGTCCCTTTGGGGCAGAAGGGGATTAAACCACAAAGCAGCAGGGGCAGAGACTTGTTTCAGGGTTGATTGAAATGGTTCCAGCACTCTAAGGAAAAAGGACAGAAGCTCCCCTTCACTAACCTTCACTCAAAAATGAGCCTGAGACCTATTCAAAAGTCACTGGGAATGTCAAGAACAATCTAGAGATCTTACTGCCTCCTCACAAGCTGAAATTAAACTACTGAAAGGAAAAGAAAAGGAGCACACAGTTTGCACAAACAAGACCAGATTTGCCTAAGGTGAAATGGCCTGAAGAAACAATGTCAGCTTATTTTAGCTTTAGTTGAAGTGTATTTTAGGGAATTATAGCTAGGGGGAAAAACAGCCAAAAACAAACCTAGACCAACCTGTCAGCTTTGTTATATAAAGATTTAATTATATCTGAGCAATTACCACTGATAAAAACACCAGGAAGGTGTGATTAAGAAAAGGGTTTATGTTTTACAGAGAAGGCATTTACAAACCAAGGTTTTATACTGACTGGAACCTACAAGGCCATTCATCTTGGCAAAAATAGTGATACGTGGCAATATTTTGAAACACGATTCTTATCAAGACTTTCAAAGTACTTCATTACTGCACTCTAATGGTGTATACATGTATTGTATTATATTTTTACTGCATTGAAATCATGTTAATCACTCTCTTTTGAAGCCATCTTTATTTCTTGAGAAATATCTGCCTTTAATCATAGACACCTCTAACCTCTATTTGAAACAATGCACCATCCACCCAGTTTTCAGCGTCATCAGAAAACAAACCTAAGAGGAGAGGAAGTCTAAGAGACAGTTTTTAATGTGTCATACTTTATGAAAATGGGGTTGGCAGCAATAAAAAATAAAAGTAAAATTAGACTGGAAATCAGGAGACTTGGTTTCTACACTCTCACCAGCCAGCTTGGGCAAGTCACTTTTCTTTGTGTTTTAAGCAGGAGGCAAAGCTAGTTATTCCACTTATCTACATAGGGTTGTTTGAAGGTCAAATGAGATAATAGACCTGCAAAAGCAAGTGATATACATGAATCATAGCAGTTAGCAGGCTGTCAGAATATGCTATACAGCATATTCTGTATATTATACTACATAGATGAGTGAGTGCGAGGGTCAAAGGAAGAGAAGAGGTGATTGCTCCATTGTTGGGCTTCGTGAATAGAAGAAAAGAGAACTTTGGTGTGGGACAGTGGGGTGAGGTTGGGGAGAGGGAAGGGGCTGGTTTTGTGGGAATAATGTTTTGTGTTTAGGGCAAGAATGGGCCAATGAAGTAGAAATGTAGGCAAGAGGCTGGAGATGAAAAAAAAAGTTTGGACAAGTTAAAATAATAAAAATCTCTAGAGAATTTGTTAAGAGGCAAAAAAAAAAAGGCAACTTGCCTGAGCCAGTTAGTGAGGGGTGGGTGGTATAGGGGAGAAAGGAGGTAGATGAACTATTCAGACAGAAAAAATATATAAACAGAGTGAATGATAGCAAGGCAGTGCTCTTTTCTTCATAGGAAGAAAGAAAGCATGCTCAGTACTGTTAAGTGATTCAGAGAGGTCTGTGAGAATCAGAACCAAGGAAATTATTAGCTTTGAAGAGTAAAAGCTTACTATTGTTTTTGAAAATAAAATTGCAGTGGAGTAGTAGAGAAGGAAGCCAAAATTCATGTGCTCTGAAAGGAAAGCATGGAAGGAGAGAGAATGGGCTGCAGAAATTTAGCAGTTTAAAGATTTTTATTTGTTTATTTATTTTTTAGAGAGTGGGGGAGGGAAGGAGAAAGAGAGGGAAACAATGATGTGCAAGAGAAATGACTTGCACGCCCCCAACCCGGGACTTGGCCCACAACCCAGGTATGTGCCCCAACCAGGAATCACACCTGCATCCTTTCTGTTCATGGGATGACACACCACCCACTGAACCAGTCAGTCAGGGTTGAAGTTTAGCAGTTTAAATAGGAGAAAATAAGGAAACAGAAACAGTGGAAAGGCAAGAAGGTAGAGGAGAAAATGGGTAGAAGAAGTAGTGTTAGTCTGAAGTAGAATGTTGGTTGTAATTGTACCCAGATGAGAAATGATAGCTCCACTTCGTGTGAATACCAAATTGCAGTAAGACCTCCCCTCTCCTTTTACCTTGGGTGAAGCCAGTAAATGTCACGTATCCACATGTAGCAAAAAGGACACATATAAAGACAGAAACCAAGGTGGACAAATGGATGATGCGGGACCACTTAGCCACTGTAGGTTCTTCCAAAGAACCATAAACTAAAAAGCAGTTATGGTGGCAAATAAATGCTGCAAAAAAGTAAAAATAAAAAGCATTATTGAAGCAAGCACCAGTGTTCTTTTTTTACTTCTGAAAACTCAGAGATGTCTGCTACTTTGGAATGGTAATGAGCTGAAGTTCAAATATACTAATTTATGAAGTAGGTCAAAAAATAATCTTTCTAACAGCTTTGGGAATGAGAAATTTCATTCACATTAGGTTTGTGTAGTCTCTTCATGTCACTCTTGATATAAACCAGGCCTATTCAATTTTCTATTTCATTTTCCATTTCCTAGTGGCCTTTCCAATCTTAAAGGGAATATATACAACACTGTATATTTCAGTCCACAATTTCTTTTCCAATCTGGGATGTAACAGAGTAGCTTTAGACAACTGTCCAATTCCTAATAATTTGTGTGCAAGGTTTTCAAGAAGTCCATAACATTTGCTAGACTTTCAAGTTAAGAAATAAGATGACTTTAATGAGTGTTCTGCATGAGAAACAGACTTGTCCAAATGGAAGAAAATTTTAGTGATGAGTGAGAAAAGTTTGAGCCTAATTTTATGGTGGCACAAACTAGGTCATATGCTGTTAATATAATGTCTAAAACTTAGGTCATCTGTTCTCAGGCACAAATATGAAACATAGCACTTTCTCACTGTACAGAAGACTCCATATTGAGCAAGGGCCTTTGAAACCATATACTCACCAAAGGACATGACACCAACGGCCTGAATGGCATTGGGTTTTGCAAATACCCAGGCATCTTCTGATTTTGGTCTAGAAGAGAGTTAACTTAATGAATGATTAAACAAATAGAAGCATAAGCATATCTAAGAACAATGAATGCTGTCACAGTATAAAATGAGTATCTTTAAGTCAGAAATAATAAGGCACCTCCATTAATCTTATTTAATTATAAATAAAATTCCCCAAAATATTAATGTTTTCTGTTGACCCCAGTCCTCTAGAAATGAATGTCAAATACTTGGAAAAACTCTATTTTTATATATTTAAAATATCCACTGACGACTTAATTTTGTGACTTTATTTATCCATCAGTTTAACAACAGACATCTGTTATCATTTGATATACTTACTGAGAAAGATGCAAAAATTAATAATGCAGAGTTCTTCATCAATTAATCAATACTGCTCTTTATTCCCCTCCAACTAATTCTTCCAGATTCATCCCACCCCAGGGAAATTCATACTTGACATTACTTTATTGAGGAAGGTGGACATGAACTAATATACTCTTTAAAGAACTATATTTTTGATTTATCAATTTTTTTAGAGAGAGAGGAAAGAAGGGATAAAGAAGGAGGAAGAGAGGAGGGGAGAGAAGGCAAGAAAGAGAAACATGGACTTGTTGTTTCACTTATTTATGCATTCATTGGTTGATTCTTGTATCAACCAGGGAAACTAATATTAATCAAGGATGTACTTAGCTACATTCTGGAAACTATCCTATGTTATCTCAATCTTCACAATAACTGAAGTGTTATTATTACCATTTAATGTATTAGGAAAGTTAATCCCTGGGTGGTCACACAACTTGTCAAGCTTCCACAGATAGTAAGGGAAGAAGGTGAGATTTCTCCTTGGTCTGTTCATCCCAATATCTCTTCAACACGGAACTCTCAGTGACCTTAAATGCCCACCTGTGGACATACTTCTTAAAAAAGGTTTTGGAAACCTACATTTTAAATAGCTCGAAGAAGTCTGTTTCTTAATGGAATTAAAATATTTGCTAGCCTATCTATTGGCAGGGATTGGTTTCCCTGATTACCACATCCCTGAGTAATAGTGAAGAGCATAGGCTCCAGGTAGGACAGCCTGTGTTTGTCTTGTGGCCCCTTCCACTTATTAGCTGTATGATTTTAAGCAAGTCACTGAACCTGTCTGTGTCTCAGTTTTGTATCTATAAAATGAGAATAATAAAAATAGTACCCGATTTATTGAGTTATTATGTAAATTAAATAATGTAAAACTCCTAACAGAAAACCTAGCACATATGAACTGTTCAATAAATGATCACTTGTATTATCAGATTACATGTTGGTATTGTTAGTATTACCCACTGTGATTTAATAAAAGATAGCAGAAGTATAAAAGTATGGCCAGCTTCCCTGAACAGAAAAGGCTTCATCAAAATCCAAAGAATGCATGAAATTAGAAGGGGAGAATGGGGAGCAAAAGTCCTAGAAAGCCTAGACCTAACTACTTTATGTTTGCTGTTAATTCTAGAGGTGAAGTAGATATAAAAAGTCCCATTTTTTTTTGTCAAAGTTAATGGGATTTATGCATTATACCATTTCTTTCCACTTCTGGATGAGCAGACAGAGACACAAACTAGCCAGCCTCCAAGGGAGGCCTCCGCTGTTACTGGACTGTGCCACTTTCTTCAGCTTTTTGAGTGGGAGCTGCTGCCACCTGCTGCCTCCATGACAATTGCAGCGAACATTAACTCTAGCAGCATACCTGTGAAACTCCAATGTTAATGTGGAAAACCCCATATTTTGTTCATGGTCCTTAAAACTTTTTTAAAGGCAGGGTTAACAATTGCAGAAACTAGAAGATTTCTAACTTTTTAATAGAATTTAATTTATCTACTTTCCCTGTTACAGTATTTGCATGTGAAGAAAACTCAGTTTTCCTTTCAGTACAGAGTTGGTGTCTTATTTTTTAACTCTTATATTAGTAATAAAAAGAAGTTCGATTTTCAATTTTCTTCTTTATAAGTTTTTAAAAATTTTCTTGGCCCATATGATTACTTCAGTATATTCCTAGCTAAGATGGAGTATGAAAAGTCAGTAGAGATCATTTTGGATTTTTCTGTGTTCAGCTTAAGATGTTGATTTTTTAAGGTGTAAAGTATCTAAAAATATGTTACAAATCAGTAATAAGTGTGTGTTGAAATCTAAGTAAAAAGAAGAAAAAATATTGAGTGTGACTTTGAGATCTTTTAAAGAATAGCCTGTGAATAAGTTCCAGAAATGACCATTTTAAGAGGGAAAAAAAGTTCCTTGGTATATTTTATGAGTTTGCTGAAGCAATGATACCAATGTGAATGAACATACAGATTATTCTGACTTTAAGCTTAGATTCTGAAATAGAAAATAAAATATCAAATGCAATCAAGAAAATGTGTAAGAAAAAATCATGGCTAAGAAGAGAGTTTTTCTAATAAATACAAGGGTAGTTCAATGACAGAAGAATCTATTAATGTAATTCATCACATTAACAGATAATGGAGAAAAAAGTTAGCAAGCATTGAGAAATACATTGAATAGCCTACAATCCAGTATTTATTTTGATAAGCAAAATATTAATAAAATAGAGGCTCCTTAACCTGACAGATACATGACGTACTTAGAAGTGAAAAGTTAGAAATATTATAAGGTAGAAACCAGATAAGAATGTTCACCATCACTGTTTCCATAATACACGACTGAAATTCCTAGTTAATGCAATGCAATAGGTGGTGATATATGTAATAATTGCAAAGGAATACATTAATTGTACATAATGTAATTGTGTACAAAGACAATTCAGGGGACTCTGCTAATAAGCTGGCAGAATTAGTTGGCACACTCAGCAAGTTTGCTGGACACAAGCTCAATACACAGAAATTAATGGCATCAATGTACATAAATACCAACCAATAAAATGTTTTTGAAATAGTAATGACAACAAAAATACTAAATATTTAAAAAGGTATGCATAATCTTAATGGCATGATATAATTTTATTGAATGATATAAATGACTAGAGAAATATACCATATCCATACACATGAATGGGAAGATTCAGTATCATGTAGATGTCAATTCTCCCCAAATTCATATTTAAATTCAAATAATAAAATATAATAATGAACATGGAAAGAACTTTTTAAAAACTGAAAAGCAAAACAATAAAGCTGAAGATTGATAGACTTAAAATTGATGAAAGTAAGTAAATATAAAATGTCTGCATGATAAAATACAAAATTGAAAACAAATATAAACTAAAAACTGGGAGATGAAATTTGTCATGCATACAACCAAGAAAGGGTAATTATCCAGTAGAGTAAACAGTCCTGCAAATCAACAGGAAAAAGATATCCCAGTGAGCAATGGACAGCAGGCAACTGACACATAAGGAAATGAGAATAGCCAATAAATATGCCAAGTTTTTCACCCTCCTTAATAATTAGACAAATTAAAACGAACTGCATAAAAAAGAGCATTTTACACCTAATTCAACAAGAGCAATGCTGATAAATTGCTGGGAAAGAAAAACTTGCAAGTATTATAAAGGAAGCTGTAAATTGTAATACACTTTGGAGAAGAATTTGGCAATGTCCAGTAAAGTCAAAGTTAATCAAAGTTTGTAAGCAAACAATTACATCTTTAGGTACATTCCCCAGGCTAGGGAAGTGCACATGTGCATGAGCAGACATGGATAAGGAAGTCACTGCTGCATTCTTTATATTAACCAAACGTTGGAAACAACCTCAATGTCCAGCAAGAGAATTGATAAATAAGTCCATAAAAAGTGACCTAATCATAAATTTGTGTGCTATAGAGCAATTAAAAAGTGTTACCCAGTACTAACTGCATCAAAATGGAAATACATGGAATACAACATTGATGGAAAAATAGTGATTGTGTACCATTATATCTTTACCACAGGGATTATATTTATGAGCATAGTAATCAATACTATATATTGTTGTCAATACAAAAAGGCATAGTATAAGTATAAAAACATGAACAGGAATGATTTAAAGCAGCTTAAATGTAATAGTTACCTCTGAGTAAAAAGAAATAAATCCAACTTAGGAATAACAGTTACCTCTAGAGAAAGAGAAATGAATAAACTTTTGAATATGATAGTCTATTGCTGATCAAGATCACAAGCAAGTATAAAACATTATTTTGAATTATTTACCCCCAAATCTGGAACTTATATGTACACAAAAACCTGCATATGATGTTTATCATTTTTCAGTGTTAAAAAGAAATAAACTATCAAGCCATGGAAATACATGAAAGAGACCTAAATACATATTACTGAGACCTAAATACATATTACTAAGTCCAAAAACCCAATTTGGAAGGCTATATACTGTGTAATTCTAACTGTATTTCATTTCAGAAAAGGCAAAACTATGAATATAGCAGAAGATCAGCAGTGGCCAGGGGCTGGGGATTAGGGGGTGGGATGAACAGGCAGAGCAGAGAGGAATTTTAGGGCAGTGAAAGTTTTCTGCATGATAATAAATGATGAATACATGTCATTATACATTTTTCCAAACCCACAGATAGTACAATACCAAAAGTGAACTCTAATGTAAAATGCCCTACAAAGTTTCAAAAAGATCATGGCAAAGTCATGGAAGCTTGCTATGAGGGTCAGATCACTTAAGGAGTAATGCTTCAAGTGTTTTAATGTATTTTAATACTAACAAAAAATGGAGGCTGGCATAGAGCAGTTTGCAGCCTTGGAATGGCAAATACTTTCAAAAGAATAATTGCTTCCCTTATTCAGCCATATGCTTAGTTACATGCTTTTAGAAAACTTTTTGTTGGGGGTGGAAGTGGGAGTGGGGAGGTTTTGGAGATTTATTCATTTTGCAGTATCATCTCAACCTGGATTCTTAGATTGAGGCATTTCATCCTATTTTGAAAGACAAATTCCACCTTATCTTTACAACAGTTGAGTAGTAGTAATAAAGCAAAGCACTAGGAAGCAAGTCCTAGCAAATATCTCCAGTCTGCACAGACTTACGA